AATTGGAGAGGTTAACGGATGTTACCTAGCTCTAATTATGAATTATTTATGGAGGATTGATCTGTATGCAGTGACTATATCGAATGGACACTTCACAGTTTAGAAGTAATTTATGTCTATAATTTTGAGAGTGCAATTCCAAGTTTATAGTAGAGTAACTATTAGAATTAATAGAATTAATTAATTAATTAAAGTGTTTAATTAATTATTAATTTTATTGGGGCTCAGGATTATAGGTCCATTAGTCCCCGCATCATCCTAGTAATTCTACGAGACACAAAGGGCAAAATGGGAATTTTAGAATTATAGAATTCTAAAAAAATTAAACACTCAAAAATAATTAATTGAGAATTAATTATTATTTAAATAATGTGATTATTTAAATTTGAATTTGAACACATCTAGTTTTATCCATTTAAATTTATTTGATAAGTTGTTCAATTAAGAATTCAAATTAATTTAAGTTTGACTTAAATTGAAATTTGAATTTGAGTCAAAATTAGACTGCAGGATAAGTGATGAGGAGATTTTGTTCCTTCCCTATATGATATTGGCGCCTACACAGGGATAAAATCCCATATCTATGGCCAGCCATAATGGATAAAAAAGAAGAGGAGATTTTGTTCCAAATTCAAATAGGAGATAATTAACAAGCTTTATCTTGGAGATAGAGATTGGATTCATTCTAGAAGTTTGACTTCTACTCTATAAATAAGAGAATGATAGAAAATTGTGAGACACAATTTTTGAACAATTTTTTGACCTAATATTTTATTGTGGCCGAAATTCTCTTATTATGGGAAGAAAAAAATTCCACATCGTGCATGCGTTGGTGTTTGTGGAAATTCGAATGTTTATTCTAATCCGTTTTGTCTCAGGTGTGCCCATACACACGTCTTCGTGGATTTTAGGAATTGACGTGGAAGACATTGGTTTTCTAAACACAAGGCTTTAGAGCAAGGATTGTTCGAGGTCAAAGAACTCAAGTTATCATCCTAATCGGCCGCCAGGTATTATTTCTAATTGAGTTCTTAATAAATAAATTAATGTGATTAATTTATTCATGCATAAATTAATATAATCTATAAAGTATCTCAAAGGTTTTATGAAAATTTTTGCTATACTTGATCCGCCCTCCCCCACGCTTCCGCATCCGAATTTGATTTGGTAACCAACAGAGACAACCTGCAATAATGAAGTGAAAGTAGAAAGGTGTTCTTTTGACAAACAACTATATAGCATCAAATGTGATTAACACCAAACTACAGGATCTGTGAAATGTTGCTCTTGCTCTTTTTGTTTATGAAAGATAAGATAAGAAATTAGGCTCTATTACATAAGAACATTCCTATCTAACCGAAAATCCATCCCTTAAGCATATGCACCAAGCATACCACTAACCATGTAATGATGTTCTAACAATGATTTTACCAGCTCAAAAGATCAATGGAGGTTCAAAAGTCATTTTGTCTACTCTCTTAACTCACCAAAAATCAAGCACTTAAACTCAAAAATTTTCTCAGCTGACATGCATTAACATCCATCTTACCACAAGGTTTAGCACGTGCAAAAAGGACTCTGGAAGTCATTTCTTAGTAACTAAGACAGCAAAAATTGACCCAAACCAATCATTTTAAATCATACTCAGACAACTTTTACAAAAATGTTAACCCAAATATCAACATGACAAAAATCATTCTTAGGCATGAATATGCTCACCACCCCTAATCAAAATCAGACAGTGTCCTCATTGTCAAAAATTATGGAAATATAGAGAAAGAAGACACCTGGATGATGAACATTCCATATATGAGCACAACCTGAGCTTTCCGCTCTAAGTAATTCTTCAGACGCTGGCCATTTACTTTGAAGATTCTCCCATCGGTCGGGTCCTCAACCTCGACAACACCATTGGGAAAAATGCGTTTCACTATGAACCGGCTAGTCCACCGTGACCTCAACTTACCAGGGTGGAGATGCAAACAGGAATCATAGAGATAAACCCGTTGATTCGGCTTGAAATTCTTCCTCAGGATCTGCTTGTCATGAGCTACTTTCATTTTTACCTTGATCCTGGAATTGTGCTCTTTCAGCATGTCGATCAATCGTTGTTCTTACAATGCATCGATTTTAGATGAGATGATGACTGGGAATGTGCCTTCATCTCCTAAGAACACATGTTTTAAGCCCTCAGGTAGTTGGGCTAGCTTGACTTTTGGAGCCTCCTCGGTAGATGGTTTCAGTTTTCTCCTTCTGTTGGGAGCTTCTCAAAACATGTTGGCCCAAACTTGGTTCCTCTGTCCTGTGATTCTTTGAAAATAGCAGAAATATTAGCCACTTCACAAGGACCGGAACTCTCAGATTTAGAATTTTGGAAGAGGTTTTCAAAATCTTCAGAGTTACTTTGTAGTATAACCTCTTCCTCGACAAGTGTGTTGATCATGAATGTTTGGTGACACTAGTCATTATCACGTGGTTACTTTTGAATATGAAAAATATTCACCTCAAGGGTCATATTCCCGAAAGATATCTTCATAAGACCATTCCTACAATTGATAAGTGCGTTTGTTGTGGCAAGGAAAGGTCTTCCTAGAATGATGGGAATGGATGACTCCATATTCACCACGAATTGTGTATCCAAGACAAGAAAGTCCACAGGGTAATAAAACTTGTCGACTTGCAACAGAACGTCTTCCACTATTCCCCGTGGTCTCTTAATGGATCTATCGGCCAGTTGTAGAACCACAGATGCGGGCTTAATCTCTCCAAGACCCAATTGCGAGTATACTGAATAAGGCATGAGGTTAACGCTCGATCCTAGGTCTAGTAACGCTTGGCTGAATTCATGTGTCCCGATCTGGCAAGAAATGGTGGGACAACCTGGATCCTTATACTTCGGTGGCATCTTCTGCTCAATCACTGCACTTACTTGTTTCATCAAGAATGCAGTTTTCTTGACATGGTGCTTTCTCTTTATGGTGCACAGATCCTTGATAACCTTGGCGTAGGTCGGCACTTACTTGATCACATGTAGTAAGGGAAGACTGATATTTAATTGTGTCAAGTGCTCCAGGATCTCACTTTGATTTGCTAGCACTTTCCCAGCAGGTCGGAGAGCTTAGGGGAAATGCACCTTTACCGAAATTTTTGTTGGCTCTTCTTTCTCCTGAGCCGATTCTTCATTACTCGAAGTGGTTTTACTTGTCGATGGCGTGTCAAAATTCTTACCACTTTGAGTAGAGATGGCGTTAACTTCCTTGATATTTTGACCTTCAGAGTTGGAAGTTTGAGTCATGTGTTGTCCTCTCAAATTGGACTGGGCTTGTGATGGAAATTTACCACGCTCATGAACGGTTAAAGCTTCTGTCAGCTTTATGATCTGAATTTTTATTTCCTTGTTCTCTTCCACCAGCTGCGTGAGCATTGAATCAACCCTTTGATTCGTCTTATTTTGCGCATCCATAAAAGCTTTTAGGGTCTCCTATAGAGAATTCCCTTCCGGCTACATGTTATTCTGAGGTGCAAAATATGTCTTTGGTGGTTGAGATTGTTGCTCTGATCTCTATTGCCCTTCAGATGATTGTGGATGTTGGTTTGGATCTCTCCAACTGAAGTTTGGGTGGTAGTTCCATCTATCATTATAAGTGTTTGAGAAAGGTCCAGAAGGCTTCTTGTATGTGCCCATTGCATTGCACTGCTCCTCGTATACTCCTCTCATTTCACTTAAAGTGTGGCAATCCTGAGCTAGATGGCCCTCTCCACCACAAACGAAACATGGCTCATGTGCCTCTGTCCTCGCCACCATGTGGATTCCTTTACTATCTTTACTTTTGAGGGCCTCGATTTGCTTCGTCAAAACTTCAAGTTGAGCCTTGAGGCTATCCTCTTCCCTCAATTGATAAACTCCAACTGGTCGGGACCTACTGGTGCTCTCAGTAGCACTTGGTCCAGTCCAAGTATGAGCTTTCTCAGCTAACTCATTTAGGTATTCGATAGCTTCGTCAGGATCCTTCTGGAGAAAATTCTCATTGCACATCATCTCAACAAATTGGAGCTATCAGATTGTGAGTCCATCGTAGAAATAGCTTATGAGGTGCCAACTTTCATATCCATGTTACAGATTTAACAGATCTTTAAAACGCTCCCAAGCTTGATAGAGAGTTTCGTTTTCTTTCTGAGCGAAATTCGATATCTGTCGTTTCAAATTGTTGGTCTTATGGTGTGCGAAATACTTGTTGAAGAATGTCGTCATCATTTCTTCCCACGTACCAATAGACCTAGGCCTAGGAGAATACAACCAGCTTTTGGCCTTGTCCTTCAGAGAAAAAGGGAAAAACTTCAACCTGACGGTGTTTGCGGTCTCAGCACGGCAGTGAAAGGTGGCCACCACCTCTTCAAACTCCCGGATGTGTACCTATGGATTCTCGTTCTCTAACCTGTGAAAGGTTGGGAGAAGTGCAATCATTCCCGGCTTGAAATCCGTAGGCGGTGCATTCGGTGGGAACATGATACAAGATGGGGTGGCCGTGCACGTTGGGTGTAGGTAATCTTACAACGTCCTTTGCTGAACTTCCTCGTGTTGTGCCATTGCGAATAGATTTTGAAGTGTGAATTCCAACGATGAGTGTGAAGACGGAAGCGTTGAATTCGAGTCGGATAGAATTTCACTAGGGGTTTCTAAGTCTGGACGTTGAGCAAATCTCCCTAGCTCGTCTCTATACCGATGCATTCACCCTAAGCGGCTCTTTTTTTTTTTAATTTTTTTTTTGTTTTTTTTTTATTTTTAATCGAAACAAAAGAAAATAATTATATAGTAACATAAATTGTAACCACCTAGAGTGGTCACAGGAAAGATTATAGCTCTTGGCTCAATGAATAGTCTCCTAGACAGAGCAACGTTCCCAGGAAAGATTGGTGGGGCGAGGCCCACTTAAGTACCAACTTTCCTAAACAGAACTTCCTCAGATTATACTTTTCACGTAACCACACAATTATCCTCAAAATTAATTATTAAATTTTATTGAATATATTATGAAATGAAATCTAATTAATAGAAACTATTCCTAAAGTCAAAGCCTAAATCTATCAAATTATGAAATTCCTAGATTATGAATCTAAATTAGTCAACTAATTACAACCTAATCACAATCCTAAAAATTAATAAAGACTTAAAAGGAAAAATTAAATTAGGCAACAATATAATAGTCAACAATTAAAATATACAAATGGGAAAACAAAATAAAATCCTAATTTATAAAAAAATAAAAGATTATAAAATTAAATCACAATCAATTTTAAAACTAAAAGGGAAAATAAAATTAGCAATAAAAATAAATCTTAAAAGTGTGAGATTTTTTTTTTCAACAACACGACTATGGAAAAAAAATGAAAAAGGTAAGCAATACAAAAAAGGTAACGGTTTTTTTTGGGCTTCGATTAAGGGACGACAAGAGAAAAAAAATGTATATATATATATATATATATATGCTGCAACTATGAATTACTTGAACAATGACACGGCAGCCAACAACAGTAATACACGGTGACTTAGGTTGACAGCCAACAACTAGCCTTTTTTTTTGAAATAAACGATAAGAAAGAAAAGATTAATAATAATAATAAATGTATAATAGGGGTTAAAACAGATCACGCAAATTAAGAAAGAGAAACTGAGTAAAATAAAAATAAAAAGAAAATACACTTACCTCTTTGGTTTAAAAATCTACTGATTAGTCTTGCTAGTAGCACCTCTCCGGCAACGGCGTCAAAATTTAATTAACGCCCAAAAGTGATGTTCACAAGCGGTCAATTGTAGCACAGAATGGCGGTCGTATCCACAGAGAGATAACAAAATAACAAGAAAGATTAGCAGAATAAAAGCGTTAGAGAAAAATAAATAACAAGTAAACTAATGACAAAGAAGAGTTTTTGAGACTTTGTTGCAAATAAAAAGGAGAGAAGATTTGTGTGAAATAAATTCAGTAGAAAAAATGGTAATGGTCGAGAATCCATAATATTTCGTTCACCAATTCAAGTTTTCATTCACAAAATAAAAGAGTCAAATAAATTAAATCTCTATGTTGACTCCAAAAATATTATTATTACAAGTTATCCAAAATCGACAATATATCAATTTGACAATATTATAGTAAAAGACAATTTGTAAACTAATTTAAATAATAAAATAATGTGTGACAGAATTACATAAGCAAAGCATGACTGGACTTATATAAAAATTGACACACAATATTTTGAAAAGTAATAGAAAGATTTAATTCATTCAGATATTGAAATTTACAGCACAAGGAATCAAATGCCCGAATTTGGTCACTAATAAAAGTTCATCTCAAACCTCACCAAGAGAATTCTAGCCTAGCTTGCAAAACATTCTCACAAGTTCTAAAGAGAAAATATGAGAGTGATAGCAAGACGACAGAAAATTAAATATTAAAAACTCACAAAAACCTTAGGCTAACCTTCTTATTTATAGTGTTTAGAGGTTGCCTGTCAAATAAGGAAACAAACAATAAAAAAAGAAAATTACAAAAGAAAAGGAAATAAAATAAAATTACACATAAATTAGGAGAAATCAACTATATGATTTGGGGAAGAAATCTGGCAACTCGCGGAGAAGAAATCCGGATTCAGCACCTAATATGGACACGTGTCAAAGCTCGGTTGGAGGAAAGGATAGAGTTGCCACGTGTCGCGCGCGGAGTGGAAGAAGTGTGCTAGCGGTTGGAGACAGCTGGGATCCACGGTTGACAGCTGGCGAGCATTCATTAGGAAATTAGGCTGGCATCGCAGACACGAGACCCACGCGAGAGAAAGCTGGGACGCGCATTGATTGCTGCGTGGAAGGAACGCGCGCTCCTTACCAGTAGACTTTTCACTGAGTGGAATTGGCACAAACAGAGGTCACCGTTGCGTTCAGCATGTTGAAACGAGTCAGGATATGGTCTCAGATCTTCGATCGAACGTCGAGAACCTTAAGAACTGAGACTCACCAGAATCAGGCCACCGGCGGCGGTGGAAGTGGCGGTGGGGATTACCGGAGCACATTTCTGCGACGGACTTGGGTCCTACCCCCCTTAAATCGACCATTCTAAGTTCAATGGTGCAGTCAATTTCACCAAATTCGGCCTTTATCTACTCTGATCAAACCCAAAAACGCCAAAAAAAGTCGGTGACTTGGTTCTCGATTCTCCGGCAATGGAATCTCAAAATTGGCTGAGGGGTTTTGTTACCCACTTCCTTCTGAATGTTTTGACACCAAAATCATTACGATCCAATGGTTGGATCATCAGAACCACCCTCCACCCAAATGGCTACGGATTCGGGCGGCTGAGGGTTGCTTCTTGCTCTGCGTCGTCCTCTGAGTCCAAAGGCACCGGCGGTGTCAAAAACGGAGGCCGGAACAGTGCACAACGGAGAGGAGGCACGGCGGCCAAAATGGGAGGCTCCGGCGATGGCGCTCCAGTGAGAATCAATGGGTGAGACCGCATGGGTTTTGTTCATCTCGTCGAGCTGAATCCATAAGGACTGGAATCACTCCGATCGGAGGTCAGACGGCAAAGTTACGATGGCGAGAAGTTTTGATAGTTTTCAGACATTTCACCGGCGATTGCGGCTCTTTCCGGCGGAGATGGAGATCATGCAGCATGTCAACGAGTCTAGCTCGTCGAAAGCTTTCCGATGGTGTGCGTGGTGTCGCGAAAAGACACCGGAATCTTATCGGTGGTAGGTGGCCGGCATGGAGAGAGAGAGAGTGAACGTGGGAAAGAGAGAGTGAGAATGAATGTGGGAAAGAGAGAGAGAGTGAATGTGGGAAAGATAGAGAGAGAGAGTGAATGTGGGAAAGAGAGAGAGAGAGAGAGTAAACATGGGAAAGAGAGAAAGAGAGAGAGAGAGAGAGTGAACATGGGAAAGAGAGAGAGAGAATGAACGTGGGAAAGAGAGAAAGAGTACGTGGAAAAGAGAGAGAATGAGAGAAAAATGAGAAAAAGAAAGAAAAAGAAAAGGAAAAAGAAAAAATAGGTTTAGATTTTCTGGGCAAATTTAATAATTAGACTTCAAAGTTTATTTTGAATAGAGTATGGAATGACTCACAATTTAAATTTTGAAAAATTAGTTACTAACACTTAAAACTGTTTAAGGGACAATAATGTTAATTTCAAAACAATCTTTTTTAAAGGAGAAAGGTCATTTACATAATAATTATAATTGAGAATATTTCACTAATCTCAAATTAATTAACACTAACCACCGGATTTGATTAATTAATCGCAATTAATTTAACCGGATGTTACATGTTATATATATCTAAAACTTAGAATATGTTTACTAAAATATTTTGTCTTGTTAATAGTTCCTCAAATGACTAATTTATGTTTAATTAAGACTAAGTAATTGGTTTATTAAGACTAGAAATAGACTATGTAAATTATAAAGATGTTATTTTGA